CGCAAATTACTTTTTGAAGTTTTTCTTAGAATGCGAAATATCATTTCATCATTAATTATAATAATTTCTTATTTTCTTTTCTTTACCACAAACTTTTTCTTCCAGAATGCACGATTTTTAAAACTATTATTATATTTGCATTTAAAAGTATGAAATGAAAATAGATTAAATTAATGATTACATTAGAATGATCAACAATGTAGAGGATGAAATTTGCATTTGTCCTGTACTTTACCTGTACTAATAATGTAATAGCTGTTTCTAACAGTTAAAAATATTTTTAACGCAGTTATGCATTGTATTACAATTGTCAGGTAAATTGCGATTGTATTTTAAACGCATTTATTACAAATGGCTATCACTGCCATGTTGACACATCTCGAGTTTAACTATTTCAATGTTTGAGCGATTATTTAAATATTACTAGCCATTAGTAGTAATACCTAATCTTCACCTATTTATTATACTTCATTTCATTCATCTATAACTTTATTTCACATTTAATTTTCTCCATAGCTGAAGAAAAGTTTTATTGGATATTTTTCTTTGAAGCTTTTTTTTTGAAAAGAATTATTTGATAAGTAACAAATGATCTATTTTGTCTTAGTATTCAGAATAATTTGATAGTATAATATAAGTTATACAAATAATTTACATATAATATAATTCCCCTCCCTATTAGTTATCATTCCCATTTATCAGCTTTTTTTTCTTCTCCCATATGTTGCTATCACTTTTTCAAGTATCTTGAATGCCGTAGAAACAAGAAACACTTTTGTATTTTCCATAGATTAAAATATTATTTGTTTAGCTGTGAGGAAGAGATCCGTGAGAGCTTTTTGTTTAATTTTTTTAAATCAATAATTTATTTGCAAATGATCTCATATAATGAGCATTATTTCTTTTGCTAACAATATAACTCACATGCTAATAATTCATTCTGGTACTATTATTTTTCACATGCTTTAATAACAATTTAAATTATGTCAAAAGATAAGCCCCGTATTGAAATTCTTCTTCTCTGCCATTTTGTTTGCATTTAAATTCAAATTTTCATCGATAAATGAAAAATTCATCATCGAACTCTTTTATTATCACCAACGCATTTGTCCCTTTTGTTGATTGCTATTGTACGCATACGACACATCATCATTATTGTTGTGTACAGTTCAAAGTTCAAAAAAATTAGTTGCAAATCCAAAAAGAAAATTATTCAAAAGAAAAAATGTTTTATCAATTTTTGTTATCCTCAAGAAAGTTATTAGAGTTTCATTACTTCAATTTACATCAATGATTGATTATTATTAATGGAATTGATAGTGTTGAAGGATATCTTTCGCACATTGCAATTATCGGCATTATCAGTTATCGCCACTGTCGCATTATCAGTGCCATCATCATCATCTGCAACATTTACTCACCAGTTTTGTATAAATTCTTCTAAGGTCAAGGAGGAAATGCGAAATATTATTACAATTGTTTGAATAATTAATGCATCTAACCTTATGTGTAGAGAGATGTATCTGAAGCATGTGAACAAATCACTTACGTGAAAATGAAAGAATTTATAAAATCAATAGAGTGATGATAATCGTATACGTAAGTTCGACTGAATAATCACTATCTTATCATCATTAATATGATGGATGCCAGAACCATCATTTTGATATCAGGAAATGAGCATAATATCTTATCTTCACATGAAGACTATCTTTTCATATTAATGATGATAAAAAAGAAGATCGAATTATGATAACGTTTATTGATTATAGCTTATGTAAATGATTATCATTTCAGTGAAATCAATCACGGTTATTAATACTGGCTAGATATTATACAATAATTTAATGATGATTTTTCATCTCATCTAACTATCAATTAATTAATTTATTTCAACATAGGGCAACAAATAACTTGTTGTCATTTAATTAATCGAAGATTGAGAAAAGAATGAGAATAGTTTACAGGGCCGGAAATTTTCATTATGTTTAATTTTCTTCAAACTCTCTCCATTTAAACTTTTCTTTCGCTCACTTTCACAACAAATTGTTACTGATCTGAAATGTCAACAAAACTGTATACATATATTGAATGATTGGTAATTTAACATACGTAAATTCTTCCTTCTGTATTTCTGTCTTAAATTATTGTTTAACTTGTTTGAAATTCTTTATGCAAAATTTTTATTAATTCAATCATTCGGAAAATACTAAATTTTCCTCTCTCTCTCCCCAACTGGTATTTCATCATTCGTACTTCTATTTTCTTACCATTTTATATGACTTCTTGCCTATTCTTTCATTTCTCAATTTATTACCTGCGAGCTTTATTGATTTTATATGCCTTTGTTAAGATTTTGATTTTCTCTCTGCTTCATACTAGCTCTTTACATTTAAATAGCAAATAAATTTATAGATTGAAATTGATGATTTGAATTTATTAAATTTCATCAAATTTCTGGATAGTAAGAATAGAAGAGAAATTAATTCGTTTTAGGATATATTTTGTTTAATATGGGTTGTTTCGAATGTGTTTTCTGCATGAAAGCTTTTATTATTTAAAATTGAAAAACTTGCTAATTTATCTTTATTCATTTAAAAATTCAATATTTTCAGTAATAATATTTTCCAAATGATTTTTCATTGATAGAATTTCCCATTTGTGGTTTCATTAGAAAGTTGTAAAAATTCATTCATCACTTATTCTCAATATTTACTTATCTCTAAGATTATATTTCCTGTTTGTTCTTTCTGAAAATTTTGTAAATTTTCCTTTATTATAATTTATTTTGCTAAATAAATCTGTTAAAATTATCATTATCTTTTTTAAAATATCTTTAACGTTTATCTTTTTTAAAATTTACTTTTCTTTCATACAGATTAATATAAGTTTGATTCTTAATATTCTTTCATAATCTTTCACCATCCGATTGATATGACTTGAAAAGAATGCCGACACTCGTTTTTATGCTATCAATTTCTGTATTTCATTCGGAAACAAAACTTGTTTTGTCATTTCAACAGTACAACATAAAATTCATATTCTGTTTTAGCTTTATTGCTCGATGCACAATGATTTTATAGTTCTTCAAAAATTTTAACTTTGTTCAATACAATATCATAAAAATTATTTTTAATTGAAAGGATTATTAGGATCTAGTTTCATTAGGTATATGATAGCTTATAATTTGTAAATCATTTTAAAATGATGACATGGTTTGACAATTATTCTTAGATTTAAAAAATTAAAAATGAATTATAGATGTTAAATCAAATTTAACTGAAAACATCAAAAAATACTTTGCTTTCCAAGAAGCAAGAGAGAAGATAAAAATTTTAATGTATCTGATGAAGACATAATTTCAAATTATCTTTACCTGACAAAACCTTTTAATTACTTTGATTAATGAGCAAATATTAGGATTTAGTTTTCCTATGTTTGTAGTGGAATTCAGGAAATAAATAAAAATGATGAAATCAATCATTTTATGCAAACAATTTGCCAGAATAATTTTGCATTTTTGTGAACTGTTATGAAATATCTCCAAAGTTTAAACACAATCGTAATGTGATAAATTGAAATATGGTGCTAAATTCATCGTCAACAATCACTAAGTAATCTCTGAAGCTCGTTTCTCCTTAATTTCATTAACTCCCACAAAATGATATAGTATTTTAGTTATATTTGAAATTCGAAACATTATCGATTAGCCGGAGTGTTGACACTCAACCTGAGCAAAATTTTAGTGTTTTGAAATGGAAGTCGCTGATTTGTTACAAGATAAAATTATTTTTCACTTTTTTTCGCATCACAAATCATCAATTGATAACTTCCTTAATGTATTTTTTAATTATTATCAAATTCAACAGTCATCAATGGTTGATCATTTTTTACTTTTTTTTTCAAATTTTTTTTGTTTTTTACATTTCAAGATATATCATTAATTTTTTTCTTCAATTAATTATATATCCTAAAGTTTTCTGTGTGTGTATGTATATGTGATATGATAATTTTGACTACATTAATCACCGACAAATTAGCAAAATCGGGTAGTAAAATGAAAGTTTTAATAGCGGTCTTTTAAAAGCCATTATTGTTCTGGCCAGTGCTCCTCCGTGGATCAGATTAGCAATCGACACTTAATAAGTGAACAATTTGAATGATATGCATGCTAATGTTATGTTAAAATTTATAATTTTATTTTTGTTTTGTTGTTTCATTTCTAAAATTCTACATCTTATCGTTTTCCAAAATTTGTCATTTTTAATCATTGATGTACACATTATAAAAAAAAAATGATGAAAGTATGTTAAAGTAATAAAAGACAGCAAACTAACTTTAATTTTTTTTCTAACATTTAAGTTATGTCAGTTTATACGGTGGTAAAAGAATGCGTCAAAAATCTGTTTTTTTTTTTTTTTTACACTTTAAATCTATGTACAAGCTTATTTTACATTTATTTAATTTCGTAGGCTTACTGGAATTTGAATTCAAAAAGTATGTATGCAATTGATTGGATTGTTAAGAATGTGCGCACTTTTAAAATGACAAAAATACAATTTGCTTTTTTTTACACTTTAAATTTTCGATAATGAATGAAGTTTCCATATCTTTAATCAGTCATATTCTACTATCATCTATCTTTTCATCAAACATTTTCCAATTCCTATAATAAGTTCTCATCTTTAACAAATAGTAAAAGTTCACCTATTTTCTAAATTAATTTAAATTAACAAATATATAAAATGATGTGGAAATTGAAATTTATCAGGTATGAAAAATGTGCCCCTCAATTCGATTTTTTTTTTTCTCTCTCTTTCTCTTTCTTTTTTTTTTTTTCATCTACAATACATTCTTTGTATGTTAAGTGATATTTCAAATGGTGTTTGACAAATGATGGAAATTCCTTTCGTTAATGCTACGCTTCCCATTCTTTCTTTTCTACCATCCATAGTTCAGAAATTTAAACCCGTGAAATGAATTGGAACATTTTTGGAGTGATGATGCTGGTCTGGTTGGTGAATGGGTTAGTCATGCGATATAACACTCCCGAGAAACTTCCTCCCTTTTCATTCTCTTTCCAGTTTTCTCAATTTTCCTCTCTTGTTGTTTCAAATAATTTTTAATAGCAGTTAAATTCTTAAAACGGAAATTCATTCCAAAAAAATTGTTCTAAAATTATGAGACATTAACAAAATTTTTCTCTCAAACTATAGCTAATGCAAATTAAAATATCCTTCCATTATTTTACTGTATTAAAAAGACAAAAAAAAAAGCAATCTATTTAATATTATAGTTTTTATTAATGTAATATAAGAATATGACGAATGAAAATAAAGCATTTTTACTTCTTGTCCGTTATTTCGTTTTATATTTTAAAAATTTTTTCTTCTGTATTTGATTATTATCGATTATTTGTTTATTTATTATTATGTATGCGCTATTTTGGAGCAATGTATATCTTTTTTTTTTTGAATTTTATTAGATATTACAGGTTTGGATATTGTATCAAGGATTAGAGCAACAATCGACTTCAGTATTTTTTCAACTTTTAAAAATCAGTATTGTCAAAAGGCTTAATATTACATTCGGATAAATTAAAATAATAAAAAATAGTAACAGCAACAATAAACAACAACAACGACAGTAATAATAACAGTAACAATAACGGCGACGACGACGACGACGATATGGATCTCTATCCGGCACCCGATATTGGCCATGTTTCTTTTTCCGGTTTAAGCGAACCATGTTCCATTGGTTCTATCGTTGAAGTGGTGGTTAGTAATATCGTTAAATTACAATTATTTCATTATCGAAGATTCTATAAGATTTCACAATTCAATTTTTAGTTCTCCAAAAAAAAAAAAAAAGATTACACGATGATAGTTTTATTGGTTTAATTACATTATTGCAATGCTATTTCACATCAAATAAATTCAATTTTGAAAGAGAAAAAAAAGCGAAAAAAGTTGCAATTATAAAATAGCTAAAGTGAAGAGCAAGAATGAAAGTTTTCGATAAATATGAAAAAAGAAAAAAAAAATGAATTTTCACAGAATGATTGGAAAATGATTTATTCTGATGAAAAATTGTGCGAACGAAAATCATTTCAATTACACACAAACAACTAAAATAGATTAGAAATGCATTTTCAGGAGTGTAAAAATTGAAAGTGTTAATAACTCGAACAATTATTTCCTCCTACATGTAATTAATAAATCATTCGATGATAAGAACTTTACAGATAAATGCGCACGGTGATTCATCGGCTGGTTCCATTATTGTTGAAGCAATTGCGCCTTCGGGATCCATCAAAAATTGTCAAGTACTCAAAAAAGGCAGCATTTTTACGGCTACTTTTACACCAAATGAAGTTGGTTAGTTTGTTTTACGCTTAACTTATTGGTTGATTGATTAATTGGTTAATTGATTATTGGATATTGAAAATTTGATTCACTTGCGATTTATTAACGTATTCATTTACTATAATACGATTTGTACTGTAATCATAACTTAATTCTATTCGATAATTTTATATATCACAAGTCCGAAATTGCTATCTTTCTTTTCAATAGCATATTTAACGAAACAATCATATATAAAATTTTTTCTATAATTTAAAATTTCCAAGTCAAATCAGTATCTGAATCCGTTATGGAATCGTTAAGATAGATTTAATTTTTGAATAATTGCCTGATTCTTTTCCATTTTCTGAACATCAGTAAAGTTTATTCCTTTTTTTTCCTTAAAATTTTTGTTCTTCAAAGTTCAGTGAATTGATTTAAAAAAAAGAAATAGATACTTTTATGGAAAATATTTGGAAGCTAAAAAAGATTTTTTGAGGAATTTTGCAAAGAATCTGTCAGGCCTTAAAAAGACATAATTCTGAGCTTTCTTTATTAAATATTAATGCTGAAAGGATTCTCACTACTTTTTCTCTATTAATTTCTTTTTTTTTTGTTTTCTTTTCTATGGATGTTATATTGCAGCAATTTTTTTTTTGTTATATTGAGCAGAATGTGTTTGATAGTAATTTTGATATTAAACTTTGAAGAATTGATTATTTTCGATATTATCTAAAATTTTTAAGAATTCAAAAATTTCTAATTCAGCAGAAAAGATGAAGTTTTGAAAAGCTGTCCTTCAACTTTTGACTTCTTCAATCAATTAATAAATGATGGAGAGAGGAGTGAATTCTTCTTGGAAGCTTTGATGGACCTCAGATTTAAACATTGTTGCCTTATAGATCTTGCAGTGCTTCCACAATGATAAATGATTCAGACTAGGATTCAGATTCTGAATACCTGAATATGTTCTAACTCATAATTTCAATTCTTTCGATTTATGCATGTAAATGAAATCAATTAATAAACCAATATTGTCTCATAAACATAATGTAATAACAATTTCTTTTTATTCATTACTTTTAAATAAATGAAATTTTAGTATTCATTTTTTTCCTCATTTCACAATCTCAACTTGACTTTTGCATTGATTTTTTTTTTCAGGTAAATGGCAAATTAGTATACTTTACGATGGTGATCACATTCGAGGTTCTCCATTTTCTTGTAAAGTTTACGACGCCAATCTTGTTCAGGTATTCAATTTTTAATTTTGTTAACAGAATCATTAAAGTTGAGTGTCCTAGAAGGGATAAAAATCGGAATGCATGAATAATTTAATTTCCTATTTAAAACAAATTTACAAATAAATTACTAACATTGAATTTATGTTTTTCGTTTTCTTTCTAAATTTTTAGGTGTATGGTTTGGATGTCGGGCTTGTTGGTCAAGAATTGAAATTTAGTGTGAATGCATCACAAGCTGGTGATGGTTTTCTCAAAGTATTCTTTTTGAAAATTGTTTATTTTTTTACATTTTCAATGAAAAAAAAAGAAAAAAAAAGAGAAAGAGAGAGAGAGAGAGAAGAAAAAAGAAAAAAAAAACGAACAATTAATGATGAAATTATCTTGGATAATCTGAACTTTGATGATAGATTATGACCTTTTTTAATATTCTAAAATTTAGGTATGAAATTAGGTTTTTAGCACAGCAATATAAGATCAAATCATATTCAAATATTTTAATGAGCAAATAAGCGAAGAGGATGGATGAGATGAGATGAGAATGAGTAGCAGCAGTTTAATAAGAACATATTTTGCCATTAAAACTGTAACCTACATTTATAAATCCTCTATGAAATCATATGTGAAAGAATCTGAATACAGTAATAATTTTAACAGAGAGTATAAGAAATGATCGAAAATGAATGGAATTTTGGTAGAGATTGCAGCAAATAAACAATGATGTCTTCTTCGTCTTGTCCCCC